GAGCCTGATAAGCCATGTTGATTTTAATCCCAAAAGCAATGGAAAGTCATTGCACAGTTTAAGCAAAGCACTGACATAATCAGATCTGTACTTCAGAAAAATTACTCTGGCTGCAAAGAGGAAGCAAGGAGTCCATTTAAAAACTATACCACCAATCCAGGTGAAAGATGACAGTAGTCAAAGTGGCAGAAGAGACAGAAATAAGTAAACTAATTGAGACAACTAGAAGGTAGAAATGACAAAACTTGATGACTATATAAATGTTGGAGGGAAAAAAAAGGAAAAATTAAGGATTAACTCTCAGGATCCAGGCATGGGCAACTGCGTGAATGGTGATGAGACATGTGAATATAGTTAGGGTTGCAGTGGATGGAAGAGATTAGTTTAATTTTAGTTGCTGAATTAGAGGTGCACGTGGGATAAAATATCCCAGTGCAGCAAGCAATTCAATAGGTGTGTAGAAGTCAGAAGTTAAGAATTACTAAACTGGGCTCGGTGGCTCAGCCTGTAATCCCGCGCCTTTGGGAGGCTGAGGTGAGTGGATTGCCTGAGCCCGCGGGTTCGAGACCCGCCTGGGCAGCAAGACCTCATCTCTACAATAAATCAAAATATCAGCCGGGCTTGGTAGCACATACCTGTAATTCCGGCTACTCGGAAGGCTGAGGCGGAAGGATCGCCGGAGCCCAGCAGGCAAGGCTGCGGTGGCCGGGAGCAGCCACTGCACTCCAGTCTGGGTGACTGAGTGAGACTCCAACTCAAAAAAAAAAAAAAGAATTACTAAAACAAAAAGAATCACTGGACGTTGCTGAGGGTCCAGTTGAGGTTAAAAACAACATATTAATTGATGATGTCACCTATTCACAAAAGTGTGCAATTTCTTTTACTGTCACTCAACAGATTAGAAAACAGCCTCAATTTCTGCAGGGTTATGGTTTTGCCACACAGAGGATATATAACACAGCAGTACACAAAACAAAGCTCATTTCTTCCGTTATTCTAGTAGAAAAAATAAATAAGCAACATCGAGGTAATAAGTACTATGAAGAACAAAAAAGTAGGATAAGAATGTTCTTTCAGATAGGGAGGTCAGAGGAGGCCTCTTCAAAAAGGAGACATTTGAGTACAGACCTGACTGCAGCGAAGGAGTAGAGTTTACCCTCGAACAACAGGGATTTACATTTTTTTTTTTGAGTTGGAGTCTCATTCTGTCGCCCAGACTGGAGTGCAGTGGCCACTCCCGGCCACCGCAGCCTCGATCTGCTGGGCTCCGGCGATCCTTCCGCCTTAGCCTTCCGAGTAGCCGGAATTACAGGGCATGCGCTACCACGCCCGGCTGATTTTTTGATTTATTGTAGAGATGAGGTCTCGCTGCCCAGGCAGGTCTCGAACTCGCAGGCTCAGGCAATCCACTCACCTCAGCCTCCCAAAGGCACAGGATTACAGGCTGAGCCACCAAGCTCGGCGATTTAAATTTTTTATATGCAAATTTTCTTCCACCTCTGTCAACCCTGAGACAGCAAGACCAATCTCTCTTCTTTCTCCTCCTCTTCTTCTTCCTCAGATGATGAGAATGAAGACTTTTATGATGATTTACTTCCACTTAAGGAATAGCAAATGTATTTCCTCTTTCTTATGATTTTCTTAATATTTTCTTTTCTCTAGCTTACTTTATTGTAAGACTTTATTATACAGTATATAATACATGTAACATACAAAATATGTTTTAATCCACTGTTCATGTTAACAATAAGACTTTAGATCTACAGTAGGCTATTAGTAGTTAAGTTTTGGGGGAGCCAAAAGTTATAAGCAGATTTTCAACTTTGTGGGAGGTCAGTGTCCCCAATCTCCACACTGTTCAGGGGTCAACTGTACTATACAAACATCTGGAAGAAAGCATTCCTAGCAGAAAAAATAGAAGTGGAAAGACCCTAAAATGAAAACATATTAGTAATACTCAAAGAATTGCAAGGCAGCCAGTATGGTTGAGTTAAATGGTAAAGTGTAGGAAAGAAGATAAGAAATAGCATAGAATGCTTTGGACTTTCAAAAGAGCCTTGAAATCTGCCTCAAGAGTGAGAAGAAGCCACTGGAGACTAATGAGTAGAGAAAGGGGGAGGAATGTTATCCGATTGAAAATAAGCTGAAGTTATCTATGTGACAGTAGGGTTTGGGCGAGGGAGCAAAACTCTGAGTTTGCTGTCAAAGTCTTGATGATGGGGGACTACGGGAAGATGAGCAGGTGAGTGCAATAAGGAGCAACAGAGGGTAACATAGCTGAGGAAAATAAGCCTGAAATAAGCAAGCACTAGCAGACTGAGAGGATACACAATAAACAAGATAAAATCATGGGAGAATCTCTCAAGAGATGTACATTTTAGTCATGATAAATGAAACTAAAACAAATATAAAACTATCTTTAATGAGAATTGTGTGGCCTGAATACAAATAGATTTACTTGCTATGTCAAAGTAGCATGTTTTAATTATAGTTATAGGTTATCACAATGTTAGAAGCTTTTATAAATATTAAACTTTTCATGCTAAGATAGTACACAGATTTTTGGCAGGATCTACTAGATCTTCTAATTTGGTGGTGTTCTCTAAGGAATTGGCAGCTGTTATATAACAACATAGAGAAGGCAAGAGTATTACGGTTCTATCTATCTGGAACTTCTTAATATCAATGGGGCATTTTGTAAATTTACATAAGACATCATTCTTAATTTAGAATCTCAATAGTCTAAAACACATATTTATGTTGTTCCCAGATTACATGTGTAAGTCCTAGAATATGACCAACTTTGAATTTGCTTGCTCTGCTTGCACACTCACTAACCCCACTATCACCTCTCACCCCACTCCTGCCCTCAGCCCCAGTAAATTCACAGAGTTCCTGCAGTTATAAATTCTCCCAGGAAAGAGGAGAGGCAAACCACAGCTCTAGTCTGTAGTTCCAACTAAACAGAACCAACAGAAGCTCTGGCTCCCCAACAGCTACTCAAAGAAACCTGGGAACAAAATTAAGAAGAATAAAAAAGTTCAATACCCCAGGAGCAGACATCGACCAGTAAGAAATGGGACACAGTAAGAAGCCAGCAGATAAACTGCTTGCCCTTACTCCCTCTACCATGGGCTGTTCTGTGGCACAGTGGTCTCATGTGGTCTGAGGGACATCTCTACAAAAGTAGGTAACTAGCTGTGTTTTCTCAGTAATGCACCACCTTATACAGTAGATTCTCATTATTCATAGTAGTTATATTCTATAAAGTCACTGTAAACACTGAATCAGAGAATACTGAACCATTGCTGCTAGGGGAAGTACAGGGTTAAGTTTCTGCAAGCCTCTCATCACAACATTGTTGTCAATGGGCCACAATATTATGCGTGTTTCCATTTAAAGATATTTTATAGACTATATACTGTGGATTTGTTAACACTGAACTCACAGCCGACAGTACTACAGCTGGTGCCTAAGTTTGCCTAACCAACCCGTGTATTTTCTCTGTAAGGCACATGACAGCCTTCTTGTACTTAGAACACTGTATAGCATTTTAACACTACAGTTGGGCCATTTTAAACACTGAAAGCACCAACAAAAAGCATAAAAGTGCAACAAATGTAGTATTACATAGAATAGAAAAAGGAGACTTATTTGCAGTATGAATGCTGAAACAAGAAGGCAGAGAACCTCCTTGTTCAACCTCAGCTGGGAACGAGCACATGTACCTCAAACTTTTTCACCCAAATGATTGCAATAGCACCATGAGTATTAATTTTGTGGTGAGAAACAAATTTTATCAAGTAGGCAAATTCAGAAAAATGAAATCCAGTAATAGGAGGATTGACTATATTTGTTTCCTTATATTCTCTTACTTTCCCCTCATTCTTCCTTTTCTGAAAATGTACTTTTCTTCCCATCCCCCCAGAAAACATCCTTAAATTGTACCTAAGCTTCTGTTTTCTGGGGAATGCAAATTAAAACACAAAAGAAATCTTTCTCTCTCTATCTCTCTCTCGCTCGATAACTCTCACTCTGTTGCCCAGGCATGATCATAGTTCGCTGTAGCCTTGAACTCCTAGACTCAAGCAATTCCCCTGTCTCAACTTCCCAAGTATATGGCTGATTTAAAAAACATATTTTGTAGAGACTGGGGGTCTAACTATGTTGCCTAGGCTAGTCTTAAACTCCTGGCCTCAAGCAATCCTCCACCTTGACCTCCCAAAGCACAGGGATTACAAGTGTAATCCCTACCATGCCCAGTCAAAATAAATCTTATTTAAAGTTGAACGTGCACAAGGCACGGTGGCTCACACCTGTAATCCCAGCATGGTGGTGTATGCCTGTAGTTCCAACTACTTGGGAGGCTGAAGTAGAAGGATTGCCTGAGCCCAGGAGGTCAAGGCTATGGTGAGCTGTGATCCTGCCACCACATTCCAGCCTGGGTGACAGAGTGAGACCAAACTCAAAAATAAAAACAAAAATAAATGAAAATACATGAAAAATCAACTCATTTGTATTATTTGTATATGGTAATTTTCCTCAGTTTAGGATAGAAACATGAAGAAAAATATAGTATTTCAACTGCTTCTTCCTAAGGCTGGCCTTTTGGTGAAAATTCCAGTCAAGAATCATAATCAAAGCTTGTGTTGGAAAATTGACTACCCAATACTTTTTGACCAGATGTATGCTATCCCAATTCTGCCACCATTCCAATATATGCCAATTTTATATGCTTTATCAGATCCTAAGCCATAAAAAGCAACCTAAATCTTTATCACATTATTTGCACAAATATCTAAAAAAGATTTGAGTCTATTATTTATTAGAGATTTGACTTCTACAACTCACTCAAGCTTTGGTTTTCTCATCAACAAAAAGGGAAATAATATCTTCCTCAAAAGGTCACATACAAAATGCTTTAACTCACAATAGTAGCTCACTAACTAAATTTCTTAACTATTTAGCAAATTTCTTTAAATTACATGGCTGTCACTTACCGACAGGATAATTCTCCATCCATAGCATCATGTTCATCTGTACTGGTATATGTTAATCTTCCTCCTACAACTGTCCCAACTAAGTATACCAGCCATGCAAGACGTCCTAATATGTAACAAGAAAGAAAATCATTTAGGAAGTATTGATAGAAAGGAAGTTTATTTTTTCAGAAAATTCCAAAACTAGTAAAATGATCTATTCTTCCAAACAGGCAATGAATTATTAACTCGGTTTTTGACAGAAAGAAGAGTTCAGTCTTAAGTTTATCATGACAGTAAAACAACAAAAAATAACACAGGTTTTAGAGCCAGACAAAACTACAGTTGAGTTCCAGCTCTACCAATTTGCTAGATGATATTACATAAGTTACTAACCTCTTTAAGTCTTAGAGTATCCATGTGCAAAATGGAAAAAATAATATCTACCATTAAGACATGATTAAAGTTAAATTTAATAACAAATACTAAATGTATTGCCTAGGACCAGTGCTGTTATTCAGTCAAAAAGTACTATTATGATCCAATAACCAGTATCTTTTCTGAATGGTCGGTGTCATGAGAGTACCAGTCTGATCATTTTAAATATTGCCTCTGCCTGGAATACAACGAGTAGTAATGAATTTATTTCCCTTGTATGTTTATGCATTTTTTTAAACCCAGTATTGCACTATGCAATTTGCATTGACAGTAGAGTTAATCTCACAGCTAATGACAGCAGAGGATTAAGTCGCTTTAAAACAATGGCACAAATAGCAATATCTACAGTTTTCACAAATCTTACTTTGTGTCATCTAAAACTAATTTAGAAACGGAGGTATTGAATGACTTTTGTTTAAGGCATACTATTTTACATCTCCTGATTCATTGATCTAGCTATAAGATCCTCCAAAACTTTTGAGACCTTTATGAATAATTAACAACATAAAATTATCTTGCTAAAAAAGAAATTTTGTGCTATTCTTGGAGACTAATTTTCTAAGATGAGCAGGATATTTCATAATGCTGACACCAAATATATTTCCAATTGAGAAACTTTTCAAGTAAACTTAGTATTTTTTAAAAGGTGTGGAATTGAACAGTAAAGAAAGAAGTTGCCTGTGCTTGTTCGAACCATTAGGAAGAATAGATGCAGAAAAAGAACACATTATTTCTATTTTCCCGTGGATACCAGCAGTCATTATTATACTGTAACTAATCAACAACTCCCTCAATTTCTGGAGAGGCATCAGACTATCAAGGTGACAATCAGAAATATAACCTAGCAAGTATCCATATCACTTATTCTATCATAAACAATGATAAATAAATCAGAATTGATCAATTATTCAGTCTTGTACCTTAGTAATGTGAAACAGATTAAGTAGGAGAAATAAGAACACTAATTTGATCAAGTAATTCATCATAAACAGACTTACATTTCATGGCATGTATAATGAATGAAAAGGTAACAGAACAAAAAGTCCATGTAGGAAAGTGAAGGTATTCAGAAAGTTACCTATGTTCAGCAAAATGTTTCATGATCAGTATAACATAAGCTCTACCCTGAAGACCGTAATAATGCATTCTGCATCCCACCCCTCAACTCCTAAACAACCACTAGACTACTTGATGTCTCATTAGATGTTTTTTTTTCATTCTGAACCTGTCTTATGAATGGAATCATACAATGTGTGGTCTTTGTGACTGTCTCCTATCATTTAGTTATTTTCAAGGATCATTTGTGCTGTAGCATGTATCAATGTATTTTATTCTTCTTTATCGCTGAGTAACATTTCAGCGATATCATTTTTTTGATATATCACATTTATTTTTCCTGATGCATAATAAAATGTATTCATTTTTATGGCCTACACATAATATATTTTGACAAATATAAAATGTGTTATGATCATGTCAGGATATTTGGAGTATACATAACCTCAAGTATTTATCATTTCTATATGCTGAAAACATTTCAAGTTCTCTTCTAGCTATTTTGAAATACATAATGTTAACTATAGTCACCCTACTCTGATCTCAAACATTAGAACCTACTCCTAACTGTATGTTTATATTCATTAACCAAGCTTTCTTCATCCCCTTCCCCACACAACCTTCCCAAGCTTTTCATAACTCTCATTCCATTCTTTACCTCTACAAGATCAACTTTTTTAGCTCATACACGAGTCAGGATATGTGATATTTTTGTCTTTCCGTGTCTGGCTTATTTTGCTTAATAGAATGACCTCCAGTTTCATTCACCTTGCTGCAAATGAAATCATTTCATTCTTTTGTATGACCCAACAGTATTTCACTGAGTATATACATACATACATTTTCTTTACCCATTCATTCATCACTGGACATGTAGGCTGATCCATAATTTTGCTATTGTGAATAACACTGTAATGAACACAAAAGTGCAGGTAACCTTTTGATAATACTGATTTCTCCTTTGGATAAATGCCCAGTAGCAGAATTGTTAGGTCATGTAGTAGTGCTTTTAATTTTTGAGAAATCTCCATCGTGTTGGCGGCTTATTAATTTACATTCCTATCAGCAATGTATAACTGTTTCATCCCTGTCAGCATTTAAAAAATAAGATTTCACTGTGGCTCTGATTTGCATTTCCCTGATGATTACTGAACACTTTTTCATATATTTGTATATGCTCTTTTGAGAAATGTCTATCCATGTCATTTGCCCACTCTTTAATGGGATCATTTATTACTGATGAGTTGTTTGTATTCCTTATATACTCTAGATATTACTCCCTTGTTGGATAAGCAGCTTGCAAATATTTTCTCCCATTCAACAGGTTGTCTTTTCACTCTGTTGTTTCCTTTGCTGTATAGACACTTTGTCGTTTAAAATAGTCTCATTTGTCTATTTTTGGTTTGTTGCTTGTCCTTTTTGAGGTCTTAGCCACAAAAAATACCTACCTAGATCAGTATCTTGAAGTGTTTCCCTATGTTTTTCTCTAGTATCTTTATAGTTTCAGGTCCTACATGTAAGTCTTTAAAACATCTTGAGCTGATTTTTGTATATGGTAAGAGCGATAGGAGTCCAGTTTCATTCTTCTGCCTATGGATATCCTGTGGATAGGATGCCCTATCCCCAAGGTATGTTCTTGATTCCTTTTTCAAAAAGCAGTTGGCTGTAAATAAGTAGATTTATTTCTGACTTCTTTATTACATTCCATCAGTCAATGTGCTGGTTTTTATACCAATACTATGAAGTTTTGGTAACTATAGACATTTCGCTTTTTTTTCACCATTTTACATTCCTACCAGGAATGTATAAAGTTCCAATTTCTCCAAATCTTTCTCAAAACTTGTTATTGTCTTTTTTATTATATCCATCCTAATGCATATATGATGGAATTTCATTATAATTTTGACATGTCTTTCCCTAATGACTAATGATGTTGAACATCCTTTCATAGTGGCCATTTGTGTGGCTTTTTTGGAGAAATGTCTATTCAAATACTTCACCCATTTTTAAAAGTTGTCTTTTTTATTATTGGGTTGTGTTTTTATGTATTCTAATTGCTAGTTTCATTATTATTATTATTATTATTAAAGATGTGGAGTAAAAGTCAGGATTAGATAGATAAGTAGTTTATGTTCAACTGAAGTCTGGGCTCCCAACCGGTTCCCACTTCCCCTGGTCTAGGGTCAGGTACCCTTAGTAATGTCACAAGCCCGCCTCCCCACTTCTCCTGGCAGTATCCAACAACTGCCAATTCCACTCATGCAGTATTGTGATAAATGTTCAGGACCCGCTTATAAGTGAAAACATGTGGTATTCATTTCTTTGTTTCTGTGATAGATCACTGAATATGATGGTCTCTAAATTCATCCAAGTTGCCACAAAGTCGATAACTGTGTCCTTCTTTATGGCTGCGTAGTATTCCATCATGTCTATGTACCACATTTTTTAATCCAGTCCACTTTTGATGGGCAGTAGGATTGGTACCATATCTTTGCTATTGTGAATAGTGCTGCAAAAAACATGTGTGTGCAAGTATCTTTTTTACAGAATGATTTGAGATCCTCTGGGTATATTCCCAGAAGGAGGATTGCTGAGTCATATGGAAGGTCAATTTCTAGCTATTTTTTAAATCATCACACTGTTTTCCATAGAGATTGAACAAGCATATGCCATAAAAGACAAGATAGATAAGCGGGAATGCATCAAACTGAAAAGCTTTTGCAAAACAAAAGAAACTATCAAGAGAGGGAAGACAACCCACAGAACGGGAAAAAAATATTCGCTAACTGTGTATCTGACAAAGGATCTACAAGGAACTTAAACATGCCAAAAGGAAAAAAACAAACAGCCCTATTTAAAAAAGGGCAAAAGACCTGAATACATTTCTCAAAAGAAGACATATGGACAGTCAACAGAAACAAGAAAAAATGCTCAGCCTCACTAATCATCAGAGAAATGCAAATCAGACCCACACCGAGATACCACCTAACCAGTAAAAATGGCCATCATTAATTAAAAAAAACAAAAAAAACCAAAAAAAAACCAAATGCTGGCAAGGATGCGGAAAAACACTTCTACACTGTTGGTGGCAAGCGCAAACTAGTTCAAACTCTAGTTTCTTATCAGTCGTTATGATTTGCAAATATTTTCTCCCATTCTGTGGGTTGTGTTTTTACTTTATTATGTCCTTTGATGCACAAATTTTTAAATTCTGATGAAGTCCAATTTGTCTTTTGCTTTCTGCTTTTCATGTTATATCTAAGAAATAATTTCCCAACCCAAAGTCATGAAGATTTACTCCTATGTTTTCCTCTAAGAGTTACACCGTTTTAACTGTACACTTAGGATTCATTTTTACTTAATTTTTACATATGGTATGAAACAGAAGTCCAACTTCATTATTTTGCATGTGGGTATTCAGTTGTACCAGCATCATTTGTTGAAAAGACCCTTTTTTTTTTGCCATTGAATTGTCTTGGCACCCTTTTAGAAAATCAACTCTCCACAAACTAGAGTTGATTTACACCTGTTCTCTTTTTTTCTATCTTTTTTAATATATATTTTATTTTAAAGATGTTTGGTACAATATAGGAATTGGTATACAAGTGGACAACATACAGTATACCTGAACTT